AAATTATATTAAAAAATAAAAATAAAATATTATAATAAGAAATGAAAATAAAATATATGACATTAAAAATATATTTAAGAGATTATATTATATAAAAATTTACAGTAAAAAATACAAGTATATTAAACTTGTATTTAAATAACTATAAATAATTTTAAAAATTAACATTACATTTTCAATAAAGTACTTATAAACTAAATACTGTAATATTATTTTTTTTATTTTAATCATTATTTTTCTTGAATACTAATCATTCTAATGTTATTTTCTTGTAATTATATTACTTGTAATCATATTGTATTATAAAGTATTAAATATCACCTTACATCGTCAAATCATTATATTCAATACTACATTAACAAGAAAATCCATTAATAAGAAAATATAATATCAATACTATTAAATGTCATATCATTATAAATAATAAAAAAATATTACTTTTTTAAAAAATTATTATAAAAGATTAAATTTAAAAGAACTAATTAGGTAATTTGATTTAAAAAATTCAAAAAGCTAACATGCTTACAGAAATTGAATTCAAATTTCCTTTATATGTTAATAAAAAATGATTTGATTTATATTTGGCTAATTAAAAAGATTTTCAAAGATTCAAAATTGGATAAAAATTTTTGAATTAAAATAATTTTAAAATAGGCAAGATTTTACGGCACGAGCAGGAGGTAGAGGTGCCTCTCCCTCTGGAAAACATACCATACCATATATTTAACTTAAAAAAGGATAAAGGAAAGAAGGAAAGAAAAGAAGGGAAGGAAATGGCGAAATAAAGAAGAAAGATAGAAAAGCAAGAAGCACGTGCATGGTGAACACTTGCAGTTAAGCAAGCGTTTGAGTTAAAAGGGAGGAGAAAAAGAAGTTGACTAGTCAAAAAATCATTAAATAAATAAACAAATAAAATAAAATAAAAAAAGAAAGGGAAGTGAAGTCAGAAGTGGAATAAGCGGCGAAGAAGAAGAAGAAATAACGAACTAACAAAATTTTACGGACTGCACCAAAAACAAAAGTGCGGTGAAACATGAAAACGAGCACACCCCCGACCCCCAACCCCAACCCCCCCAAAAAAAAAGAAAACAAAAAGGACAGGTGGAAAGCGTTAGAAACTGTTGATAGAATCTCTGTTTCCATCGCCCCATAAAAAAAAAAAACGGAAAATATTATTAAAGAGAACATAAAAATTAAAAAGAAAAAGGGGAAAATAAACTAACTTCCTCTTTCTCTCTCTCTCTTTCTCTCTGAGTTTTTAGAGAGAGAGAGAAAGTGAAAGATGATAAAAATCGTCTTCACATATTTATAAAATAATAAATAATAATTATTTTTATATACATGGATGAGAATGAGATTCCTATCACGCAAAAACCGAAAGCTTAAAAAAAGGGAGAGAGAGAGAGAGAGAGAGAGAGAGAGAAATTGGGAAATTCGGAATAATCGAAACTTTAGCGTAATGTGATTTAGGGTTTTTCTTTTATTTTTTTTCTCTTTTTTGGTTTGGGAAATTTTAGGCAGAGATCGGGTCTCGCCGAAATTTCCGGGAGCGAAAAAATCGGGTCGGATTTTGATTTACTCAAAGGTGATGAATTCTTCTTCCTCCTTGTTCTTTCTTTCTGTTTTTTAACCTTAATTTGTTAAATGTTAAGATTTGCTGAGATTTTGCACCTTAGCATTTTGCTCATTGGATGGTATTCCACTCCCCACAGTTGGAATCCCCCTTCCCTTCAGTCAAAAAATAAAAAAGCTAAGATTTTAGCTTCAATTGTTCAATTAATTTCATTTTCTTTAATTTTTTTCATAAAATGTTGTTTCCTTTCTTTCTAGTTTAAATTTCCAGGGACTCTGTCTGTCTCTGTTTTCCTGGAATAAAGTAAAACATATAGTGTATATTTGGAACACATCAGTTTATTGTAATTAAAACAGCATGTTGGATTATTCAATAAAATAAGTGTATAGTTAAGTGCAGAGTGTCAAAGACGAGAATTGAATGAAAAGTTTTAGTAACCAACCAATTTTCTTTTTCAAGACATAATAGAATTTTAGCTGATAATGATCACATATATATATATATATATATTATCCATTGTCTGTGAAGTTTAAAATCTAGTTTGCAATGTGTAAATCAACTTGGGATTACCAAGATAACATTTATAATTGAATGGTCACATGGCAAACATCTAATTGTTTAATTACTGATGGGTAAATGTTTTGTGGTCAAGTTCATTTGGTTCTTGATTAGAAAATTAAACAAGTCAAAAATATTAGATCATCTAGGGCTACACTCTAATAGAACTCACTACTATTTGATGAGTTGTAATTGCTATTTACTCATTATTTGTAGCACAATATTGGGTCCAATATGAAAGTTTTTAATTTATAATTTTCAGAGGAATTTAATGACTTTGCTTAATGTTTTTAATTGATAAGAGAATTTGATAATTTCTTGATGTTGGCTTCGTGAAAAAATGCTTTATTTTAAAAACAACTCCAGCAGGAGATTATATTGAGATAAAATATAAGATAGAAAAGAGTCACTGATGTTGTTTTAAAGCGTTATTTTACTTCATTTGAATTCAACCTTTCACATAATTTCTTCATAATTATATTTTTTTTAATCAATTAGAAATTATGGATAAGCCTGTGCAGCCTACTCCTTCATCCACACCCACCGAACTGCTACCTTGAGATGTGGCAGAGATATATACAAAGCTGCTGACTGCTGTGATTTTTCCCCCATATAATTTACAGTGCATGGCTATATTTTCCCTGGTTGTTGAAAGTTGTGTTGATGCTTAATTGGTTCTAGTCATACGGTATGTTGGGTAATTTGGTCTGAAGGCAATGCCATGTAACTTTGGTTAGAACACTGCTGATGGTCTTTTTGTCTAGTAAATTTTAAGGATTCTTTTCTATTGGAGTATGACTTTTTTGCACAAAATTTTGTTCATGGTGTCAGTTCATCTGGGATGGAAGCACTGAATACATTGGAAGCAGGAACTAATTATGATTAATAATCAATTTGTCTTGATAGGAAGATGATACTTGTTTCAGATTACGAAGGAGTTGTTTTCGAAGTTGTTATTCATAGATTCCTCCTTCTCCTTTGAATTAAAAAGGGAACTTAATGCTGAAAAGAAACGCTGAAGCTTTGATTTGAGTTTCTATTACGCATTATTGCCTGGATTGTGAGTACTGCTATTTATGCAGGTTTTATTTTAACTTATATACATTTTTGTTTTTCCCTGGTCACACTCATATTGATGAGGGTCCAAGCTCAGTCTTGATCCCTTGTATGATTTCAGTATACCTTGTTCCTTTATTGAACCATTATTTGCTTTCGGGAAAATAATCTTGTTTGCATTAATTTGTCTGGTGGCCAGCAACATGCATATTGGCTATATCTAGGCTTTTCACCTTTTAGCTGCCAGTGCTGTTCCCTTCCAAGAAGGGAAGACGTTAATTTAACAGCAAGCATGGATAGAAGGATGTCTATCCTCGAATAGACTAAAATGATGGATAATAAAGGAAATTTGATGCAGTGTTCTTATCATTGATGATATTATGTGCGTTTGCTTTTTGGTATTGTCACTTATTTTTTAATCCTATTTTTCCCTTTCTCAGGGAATAGTTTTGTGGACTGCACTTCTCTCACAAATGGTGTTCAGAGATTCACTTAAGGAGACAAAGATGAAAGTAGAAGGGGCAGAATACGAATCACCCGTAATGGCTGGTTTGCAAGGTCATGTCTCATCGCAGCCTCCAATGTCTTTCAATCACGACTTGAGAGTTTCACAAGATGATTGGCATCTTTTGGCTTATATTCTCTTGGCTAATAAGACTAACATGAAAGGTGTGGGGCAAGGTTTGCTGGACGAGGAAGTGCGTGCTTTAACTCTGGGCTATATAGGACTAAATGGAAAGAAACCTTTAATTGTGGCAAGGTCTGGAGAAAATCATGATGGACAAGCATCTGACAACAGTCTCCTACCAGGACTTAATGATGACATGGCTCTGGACATTCTGGCGCGGAGCAGCAGATCCGATTACCCAAATCTGGCTTGTTTAAACAAAAGATTTAGGTCACTGATTGGCAGTGGATATTTATATAAACTGAGATGCCAGCTTGGCATAATTGAACACTGGGTTTATTTAGCCTGTAACATGATGCCTTGGGAAGCTTTTGATCCTGTGACAGAGAAATGGATGAGACTACCTAGGATTCCTTGTGACGAGTGTTTTAATTATGCTGATAAGGAGTCTCTGGCAGTGGGGACTGAATTACTTGTGTTTGGTCGTGAGTTGTCAGGATTTGCTATTTGGATGTATAGTTTGATTACCCATGATTGGTCCAGATGCCCCCTAATGAATTTGCCTCGATGTTTGTTTGGTTCTAGCAGCCTTGGGGAGATAGCCATTGTAGCTGGGGGAAGTGATAAGTATGGCAATGTATTAAAATCCGCTGAGCTCTACAATTCTGAGCGGGGTTCTTGGCAAACCTTGCCAGATATGAACTTCCCACGGAAACTGTGTTCTGGTTTCTTTATGGATGGGAAATTTTATGTCATTGGGGGCATGTCAAGTCATGTAGATGGTTTGAATTGTGGTGAAGAGTACAATATTGAGACAAGGTCATGGAGGACGATAGAAAATATGTATTATGGTAACAATGGCGGTGCATTTCATCCTGCTATGCGCTCACCTCCTTTAGTTGCAGTTGTAAATAATCAGCTTTACTCTGCTGATCAAGCAACAAATGAAGTCAAGAAATATGACAAGATTAATAACTCGTGGAATGTTGTGAAGAGACTACCTGTTAGGGCTGACTCTTCCAATGGTTGGGGACTGGCATTTAAAGCATGTGGTAACAGTTTACTAGTAATAGGAGCCGGAGGACATGGAGGGCGTGATGATGGAGTAATCGTTCTTCATTCGTGGGATCCAGAGCGTGGAAACAGGGATGGACCAGAGTGGGATGTGCTTGCTGTCAAGGAGCGAGCAGGTGCTTTTGTTTACAATTGTGCAGTAATGGGCTGTTAATGATTCTCTGCACATCTTCAGTGCAGATATGGATGGTGTGAAGACCAGCGAGCCTTTATCAGTTATGATTTTTATTTTCTCATTATCATTTATGTTATTATTGTTTTTTCGCATTTATGGTTCTTGAAAAGAATAATTAACCGCAAATCAATTTCTGAAAGTTTGGCAACTGATTGTGTAGATCTCATTACCGAAAGCTTTAACCTCATACCAAGTAATGACTGTTGCCATTTCTCTTGTACTTTGCATTGAATTCATTTCTTTGAATGTTACAATATTAATTCTTCATTCTGGATTGAAATAACCCGAAGGTAGGTATTGCTTAAATACATTGCTTTTTCCTTCATCGTATTGCGCTGAAGTTTGTCTATTTTGTACCCTTGTTAAATAGCAGATGATTTTAAGAGTTTTGTCTGAGTTGTAGACAGGTAGGATAGGAAAAAGTCTGAATGGAAAGCTAGGGTTAGGCAGATAAGAGTTGTTATATTTGGGCTAGGCTGATAGAAAGACTTGTTATTTGTTGTTGAGTCATCAGAGGGAGCTGATCGTGCTAAAGAGAGGTGGGGGGTGGGGAGGAGACATTGGGTGTGTCATTCCTTTTAGGGGGAGGGAGGTAGTAAATAAGTGGGTTTAGGTAGAGCTAAGGGTTGGATATGAGTCCAAGTCTGAATAGGCTATAAATGCATACTGTGACTTTGCTGGTAATTCTTTAGATGATTTTTCAGACCCTATTCATGTAATAAATTACTCTAAACTTATAGCATTGAAAATAAATACGATGGGTATGGTGCTCGATTCATTGCTTGCTTGTGGACAATTTTCTCACTTCATGAACTTACAGATATAATTGCTCCTGTCTAGGTAACGTGTGCTGAGCTCCACAAGGGTATTCTTCCCTGTGCAGGAATTGTAGGGCGAGAGAAAATTTTCAAACATCATCTTTAACGTGTGAAAGAAAGGGGAAAAAGACAAACAAAGGTGTGAATTGACTCTTTATCTTATCTGATGTGAAAGTAGTGATCTAGATAAGTACTCTCATAAGTTAAAAACAGTGTAGTGATTATACAAGTGAGTGAACATAATGGGACGACGAAGAAACCAAGGGCCTACTTTTAGTTAAGTGTCACGTCACGTCTCTACCATTTCACTTCTGACAGTTATGAATCATCCGGTCTCCATTTTCCCATCCCAAAATGACGATTGCGTTTGCCAAACACAGTGTTCATAATTTGTGCATTTTTCCGGTAGTTTGAATGCAGAGTTATAAAAGACCCAACACTGGGTCGGAGAGAAAAGGGCTGTGAGAGAGGCCTGAAGAGAAGCTGCAAGGCATATCTTAATCCTTTTCATTGACCATGGCGTCTTTGAAATAGGAATATGAAATCCTACTACTTCTATAAGAGCTCTGGATTCTGAGTTTAGAACATTTACCTCCATTCCATTCCCACCCACCCGACCACTTGGGCTGACTCTTGCCATGAAATTTTAGATGCAGAAGATTGGAAACGGACAAAACACTAGACAGTACTGTCAGGGGATAAATTATCAACAAGTCATGCAAAACTATAGGCGCCTTTGTTTCCAGAGCCAAACCATTTAGCATGCCATTTCACCTTTTCAAACTCTCTTTACTTGTTGTGTAGGAAACAAGTTTTAGGTTTAGCTCTCTTTCCAGTCACCAGTCCCATCTCTCCCATCTTCATTTCCATGGGAAATCTTTCCCATACGACCAATCACCACTAATCTATCAACATCATGTGCAGCACCTGTTACTACTGGCACCATTCAATTAAATTGTGAAACAGCGGGTATAATGAAAATAATATCGTTTAAGTTTGTATACATGTTGAAAGAATTATAATTTAATTGAAGAATTAACGAATGTATTATCAACTAAAGTACACAAATAAACCATCTTCCTAACATCATAAACTATACACAAGAATATCGTAAACCAAATTTAACCCTCCTGTTCTTGATCCTCAATATAGAAGATCACTATAGACCCTCTTGGAGTGTGAATACATTAATTGGTGTAGGCATATCCAGGCTTAAGGGGTTCGCAACAGGGGTTCGCAACCTGCAAATTGATGGAAATCAATCATCTTCTCAAAAGGAAAGGAAAAAACCAAAGACAAAAGAAGATTGAAAAACTGCATGCAAGAAGCAGTGCAACTAACAGCAAATCTGACTTCTTGGTGAGTAAGCAAACGTTCTTCATTGTTTAAACAGTAAACTAGATGAATAAATTTTCTTTGGCAACTGTTTGTGATTTTTAATGGGCTATTTTGGTGATTACCCAGTGTTTAGGGTAGATCTGTGGAGATCATGATATTTCAATGGATACAGCCCAAAACAGGTCGATTCAACTGAAATCAAGGTGGCACATTAAGAATAGGATTATATGTAATGGTTCTGTGAAAATTAGACAGGTACAGATATTAACAACTACAATCTTGAATTATTGAACAACTAAATAAGACATAAACGTTCTAATGATTCCAATAGTATTTTGATGCTGGGGTAGTTAATCATCAGTTACTGGATATTAAAATCCAATAGTATTTTGTCATTAATCTCATAGCTGTCAATATCATACAGATATCGGTGATATCAATTGGTATGAAATACTTTGGGGCAAACCCAATACACTTTAATCTTCTATAGGTGTTCTGCATTTGGTACCACCATATTCTGGTGCTACCTGTCATACCAGCCTATTTTGGCGATTTCGACCAAAAACTAATGTTTCATTTCTATACAAAATCATTAGAAATCATTCACCTTTGCCACCAGAAAGCCCAAAATTAGTTAATTTTTTTTTTTACTTGGATAGGACATCTAATTTGACAATTGAAAGTATTTTAAGAATCTTATGCTTTTATATCAGTTCCAAATCAATCAAAACATACATCACATATTTTTTTTATGGGATATGCATAGTAGTTTCAATTATAAAATAAATTTTTTATTAGTATTATTGATACAAACATAAGGTCTGTGAATTAAATTAACATTGCAACTTTATTTTCAAACATAAAAATAGAATCAATATGTATAAAAAATTTACACTTGCATATTAAAAAAGCATAAATGGTACACCAAGAAACACTAGTACTAGACGAAACCAATTTTTTATCAAGAAAATCTGACTGACCAGTATGATTGACAACCTTGATTGTCAGTGCTGCTGCAGCTGTGATTTTTAAGACATTTTATTACTATCAAATAACCAAAATGTTAACTTAGAGCCTGCTTATCCTAGTTTTTTTTTTGTTTGCTTAAAAGCTATTATAAAGCTCCTATCTAAACCCTAAACTTTTAAAATTAAGCTAAAGCTATTTGGAAAAATAAATTATATAAGCTCTAATTATGGTAAACCAAAACGAAACAAGTCAATTTCGAGTTTATACATGATTTCATATGTTAAAATAAAAAAATCTATAAAGAAATGAAACAACTCTCAAACTTGTATAGTAATAATAGTATTAGATTTTTTGATGAAGAAGAAAGAAATCCTTTAAATAGTAGCTGAATGCAGCTTTGAAATTTTGGGTCTTTTGTTCTCTTAATCTTTGTAAGAACAAAAAAATCTTATGTTTTGCTATTCTGTTGCTAGCCCTTTTGTTTTTCTCTTAAGTACTCTTTGTAGAGCGAGACAGAAAAGAGGGAGTGTTGGAGAAGGGTGATTTGCAAAGAGAGGGACAGGAGAGGGAGATTGATTGAGAGAGGTATTTCTTGAAAAGTTGATGTGTTTTTAAAAGAAGAGAAGAGAAAACTCCTCTCTGGAGCTTTTCTTTAAGCTCTTTTTTTAAAATTTTGTTCTTTACAGATAAGCTTTTTTTTTAAAGTGCTTCTCCAAGATCCTGTTTGGCCTGGCTTCTGCTTTTAAGATGTATATAAGCTGAAAGAAAGCTAGGCAAAATAGGTTAATGGTTGATCTCCTAAAACAGGACTAAACATTTAGGGTGTTTTCATGAATTTTTGGGGGAGAGTACTGCTTTTTCAGCAATCCCTGCTGTGCAGCTGATATTGTTTTCATTAATTACTGGTCTACATCTTAGGTGAGCTCAAGTCAGCTGCTTTAAGAGCTAAAAAGAAATGATTCTAAGGAATGACTTTCAAGTAAATCTTAACGATCACAGAATGATAACGTTTTAACATACATGAGATCTTTGAGACAGCAGCCCTTCAAGATGAACCAGGCACACTTTTGTGAGACACCAGTTTAAGCATAAAAAGGAAGAAAGGAACGAATTATTTTTGTGCCCTAGGCAGATTACTCAGCCTTTTAATTAAGAGAAATGATGACAGACTTAACTCCATAAATATGAATATTATTTCAATTCAATTTAAAGAATGAAAAAGTGAAAATATGAATCATATAAGAGGCATCAAATGGTATAATAGTGTTGGAAGTCATCCACATTGGTACCTGTTTTTAGGCTTGAAACAAATTGAAATTGTATAAAAATGCTTTGTTCTGGCACATCTAAAACAAGGAAAACAGTCCCATAAGATGCAATCAGTATGAAAAAAACCATGCAGGCTAGAAGTACCATTTCTCTTTTCCTCACTAACATATATTGGTTTGGCACAAATACAATTCCATATGTTGCACTAATTAAAAGGAATTAAAAGTTACGATAATGGAAATGAAGTGATTTGTTGATATTTACTTACATGAGAAGATGTCAATCAATAGGGTGTTTGTCAGCCTGGCGAGATGTATAATGTGCAGAAAGCAAAAGCAGAGAAAGGAAAGCACTGGCTACAAAAATCGCATCAAACCATCGGTGGTAGAAGTCAAACTGAATATCTCCACCCAAAACATCTGTTATAATCAACCTGCCAAGGGATACACATACTAAGAAGGCTCCAGGTTTTAAATGCAAATGATAGTAAGCTGTAGCAACAAATTAAATTAAATAATCAGAGCCCAGTTCAAGAAAAAATATGTTTACACTGTTTTGCAGAATCCTAACTAAGAAATTCAACCATGATAATATGGTAATTACATTCATAAGAAATGTGCCAAAGACAACTACATAGAGAAGAAACCCAAAGAAACAATAAATAAGAGCACATTCAGTGTAAGGTCCATTGAATCATAAATAATTTAATGCAATTAATTACCCATCCAAATGAAACTGAAACATATAAAAAGCAGCTCCATATTTCATAAATGCACAAATGAAAAAAGTTTGCCCAGCGGCACTTAAAGGTTTAGTCCAACTTTAAGTTTTTTTAAGTTAGAAGGGATTCCCATTACCGAAAGAACAGTTCACAAACAAAGCAGGTACATTGCACCCGAGCATTTGACTCATAGGTTGGTGCATGTTCCCCCTGCTTAGAGAGCAGGGTTCAAATGCCCCTTCCCTCAATTAAAAAAAAAAAAAAAAGACAAAGGCAGGTACATTGGAATACATATCTTAAAGATCAAGAAGGAAGGCCTCATTCACTAACATTTAAACAGTTATACATAGTCAATCTAACACTTACAGGCAATGGTCTAATAAGTCTTTTAGGACACATAAAACTTTATAAAATAGATATTTATGACCATCCTAATGGATGAAACTAATCAATCCATCAAGAATATGTCCATCCTGATTTCCAACTTAAAAACATTTCAAAGAAAATGGTTAGACTGCAGATACTGGCTGCATTAGTAACTGACAGGCACCAACACATCTTTTCATTGCAGGCATAAAGGCAAGTCTACCAAGGTTGTGTCAGCTTGACTTCCAACTTGAGAAGGAATGTCTATTTTCACTCAGATGACCAGGCTTGTTTTGGTTGGCTGACCTTTTTCATCCCGTTGTCCTCTGCCTTTTGAGTCATCTCTAGTTATTCATTCTATGCTTAACACAGCAAGACTAACTTCTGCACAGAACTACACTTCATATTCACCCATTCTCTCATTTCTTCTCTTTGTCTCATGTTCTACTTTACCTCATCACCTACTTGACACCTAACATCTATATTTGCTCATAAACTGGCTATTTAAATTAAGTGACCTAATTCATCCCCTTGTCCTCTGCCTTTTATGTCATCTCTAGTTATCCATTCTGTGTAACACAGCAAGAATAACTTCTGCAGAGCACTTCATTTTCCCATTCTCTCATTTCTTCTCTTTGGTCTTGCATTCTAATTTATTGGTCATATAATAATAAATTGAATTCAAATTGCACAAGACAAGACACTTTTGATAAAAAATTTTGCCATGCCAAGAAGCTTAATATCATAGATTTAACCTTTTTCTCAACAATCTCCAAAAGGATGGCCCAAGAGCCAGAAAGGCTGCTCTGATATGATACAAAGAAATAATTACAACAGCTTTGTCTATACAATTCTCATCAAGATTAGCTCAGCAAGCATTCAATATAATCTCTAACTCTACTTGTGATTTGATTTTTCTAAGATTATTATTCTTATTCCGGTTTCATCATTCAAATTTATCCGCTTTACGCTTGTTTTGCCATCTACACCCTGCTCACAGAGCCAATGATCACTGAGTCTGTGAGACTCACCCCCTTGTCCCCTTTGGCAGATAGTAATCGGCCTAGCGTCCATTCATCAGCATTTATTATCTACCGTGGATAGGTAAAGGCATGTTAGCCTTTAAAACTTGTATCTGACATGCAAATCAAGGATATCTAATTAAACAGGCATTTCATATGGTTTCTTTCAATTGTATCTATCTATCTATCTATATTAAAATCACACCTATATAGAACGACTGGGTTCAAGAGAAAATTTGATAGTGATACTATAGAGATGAGTACTATATATTTACTGAGTAATTTAACAGAATTTTGGGGATTCCAGAAACAATCCTGTCACATCAATGCTTACAGAGCATTCTACATGCTTGACACACTAACAAATTGTCCCTCTAGAAAGGCCTCCGTGATAAACATCGAGAAGAACTTTACAAATTGAAGGGAACAGTTTTTCCTTAATAATCAACAGAAAAGATATAAAAGTTGGCATCAATCATGGGCATACCTGTATTCAGTCCTCAAGCTTTTTCTTATCAGAAGAATTGAAGAGAGGAAGTACATTCCCATAATTTCCGAAAGGAAGAGGACAACATTACTTGAAGATCCACTACCAACTCTGGAAACTGCAAAGAAAAACTGCTTGCAACCAAACATTGCAAGTTAAGCTGCAAAAATCTAGATACAGGAAACTCATACTGCTCCTAAGACAAAGAAATTTTCATTTTAACAGAAATGAAGATAGCGGACACAAGGTTGACTCCATGCCATTAAGTATGTATAGTGCTGGTCATGCCAATAATGATGAAATGAAGATATAAGAAGAGAAAACAATACTCTATAGGAGGCAAAATTGATAATAACAGCAATAGCAATGACGATGACAGCCAGAAAACTGCCAAACTATACAATCTTGTGATGCGGCCACAGTATTAGCAACATATAATCAGCAAGGATGACCAGAACATATCCGTGTTTGTTTATATTCTCAGGCTTTAAAGTTGTCAATAATAATTCAATGACTAAACGTTTGCTAAACCAACAATGGATTGGCAATGCAGAAAGGACTTTCAGATCTTTGGATACAATCAACTGGACATAGCATATGGAAACTACAACTGGTCAACTACAAGAAACACAAATATGGAATGACAGCCCCCATCCCTCCCCCCTCCCCCCCCTTCTGACTCCCCTAAGCCCCGCCAAAAAAAAGGACAAAATTACCTTCATTAGATTAGTTAAGAAACCCCGCACTGATATAGCAATCAAGATTCCGATAAACATCAGGGAAATATACTGCAAACAACAAATACAAAAAGGTAAAATGTCAACCATCAATGATCAACCCTAGCAAAGAGACTGTAGATAGCAATTGCATCATAGCTGGTCAAAGTGTTAATAGAGTGAAAACTAAAGGCAACAAGTTGGAAATTTAAAGTTTCCCAATTACAAAGCGCCAGAACTTTTGGCACTCACTGTACAAATGAACAATATACTTAAGTGGATCCATATGGTTTAAGCGTGGATCATGGAAAACAAACTATACAAGTCTATAAATATACTAAATCAGAACCAACTCCGGATTCAAATCTCAAAAGTCAATAAATGATTAAACTGAATCACTACCGACTCAAAGTTCTGAATTTATTAACCTTTGAAGTACCACACATCTAAAATAAAAATTGCCCACAATTCTGTTCATAGTTTACAGGCCATCTAAGTCTGAAATCGGTCAAAAGAAATAGCAATGTCTTCAATTAGAACTACAAAAAGAGATTTTTAAAAACCTCCAGATGGAGTAGGAAAAGTCAACAAGAATACTTTTTACATATTCTCAACAAAATATCACTGTGCCTTAATCTCAAACTATCAGCCCCTAGTACAACTTCCCTCCTCTAAGGTTCAAGCTCAGAGGATACTTATTAGCCTACAACATTGTCCTTTATTGAGGCTGGCAACCCGCAAAGTAAGAGATATATCAATTAACTATGATGCAAGCAAGAGTAAAATCTTGTATAGGCCTTGAGAATACTGGAAAAAACATCTATTTATCTTCTCTAAGGGAAGTAAGTTTTAACTACTAATATTCTTACCTCTTTTTTTTGGCTCAATTAATATCTTTACCTTACCTCTTGATGACAAAATCTAAAGAGGTTAAATCCATAAAACCTCATGATTAAAGGCACCACCATCAAGCCACCAAGTTGGCATGTCATATGTCCACGCAGCATGCTTTTACATTAAACCTCTTACATATTGTTTTAAGTTTTTCTTTCCAGCTCAAACACTAAATTGGTGAAGGGTCACATTGACAACCTTGGAGGGTTAAAATACTGTAGCATATCAGTCCATAATATACTGGTTTAAGGCAGAGTTAAGAAAAGGGATACCATCATGAGCTGATATGTGAATGCAATAGAGCAGTGCAGAAACTCTGAAATGACAACAATATATTACGGCCAACTTGAGAGAAACATATATAATGCCACAAAAATGTTACTAGTATTAAATTGGAAGTGAGTTCGCCCCACCAAACTACAAAAAGGGTTTTGAAACATTCAAATAAACAAGCAAAAACTTATTTCTGCAAATTAACGTCATAGCAAAAGAAAGTTTGCTGGTTCAGTCTTTCCACAGAATATCTGAAAATTAATCAAGAGATAGGAGTTCGACAGCTAATATTAGAAATCACAAACCATCAGCAAAACCTTATACTGACATATACAATGGGTCAATTGCTTATTCAGATAAATCCATCAAGAAGTATTATGATATATATTCAATAATTGGCCATGCAGTAGAATGAACCAAGTTTAACACCCTGTCTGTGATTCAGAAACAACTCCATCTAAAATTATAGATACTTTAAATTTTTTAATTATTACAAACAAGAATAAATTAAGAAATTGAGACTCTATGTCAGAGGTCTCAAGTTTGAGTCCTGGAACAGGAGGGGCGAAATATATGGGATTGAAGAGGGCATCTACAATTGTCTAGCCCAAGACCCAATGGGTCTCCATACGTACCTAATGGAAAAAAAAAAAAACCTATTAACTGGCCTCCCCAATAATTAAAAGTATGAGCTTAGTCAAGTATAGGACAAAAACAGTAGCCAAATATATATTTTGACACTGAGTGGTAAGTGAAAAGCAAATGTTACAAGTTACAACTTTGGGTTTTTTAACATAGATGCAGATTATCAATCTATGCAAGAGCAATACTGTAAGCAGTGTTGACAACTGACCTGTGATAGCAATGCAGCATCAATTCCAATGTCAAAGAACTGCAATAATATGGTAATTGACATTGTAACAGGGTCAACTGAACCAGCCTGCCAAATAAACAGATTTGATGATACATTGCAATGGATATGCGAAAAAAAAAGGGAACAACGATAAAAATTGCAGAGATCATTCAGAGATGACAACAATACCTCCTTGAAAACAACACTTTGTAAAGACTGCATAAAACAACAGATCAATCAGGCACCTTATTTTTCAGGCAGGCATATAATAAGGAAAATTTGTAAGCAAAAGGCAATTGAGATCTGATCAGCAATTTCAGGATTTCAACACTCAACTTTTAATGAGCTAACCTGCCTCAAAACCCCTTAGCATAAAAAACAAATAAAAATTAAAGCTGCTATCCCAAAGTCATAGATTAATGGTTGTTTAATCCATTTCAAGAATAATGCCAGGTAGTAAGTCCATGTTCCTGTGCATTTCCCCATACAATATTTTGTTGGGAAGGCTAAAATTAAAACCCTAGAAATCAACCATGCAACCTTAAAAAAGTCTGATGCACAAAACACCTGAAAAAAGATTAGATCTATTCTCCAGTCCAATAAAAGGTCTCATTCAAAGGCATTTTGCTGGGATTAAGTCATTTCAAGAAGATTAGCATTCTCAGTCACAATCATGGAGACCAGGGGAGCAAACAAATGAATTTTCAAACAAATGTCAAATAGGTTATCAAAGGAATTCTTTAACTAAAAATTAGGGAGATCAGGGGTTGAGACCAAAATGAATTTTTAGACCAAGACTAAATAGACTATCAGAGGAAAATTGGGGTGTAGAAGTCATGGTTTTTGAGGTGGTTCGAACAATGAAAGAAAGGATGAAAATAAATCTCAAAGTCTGGTTTCAGCATCTAAAAGCCTTTCATTGAAGAATTTTATAAAATCTCACTTAAAGGGGGGAAATTTTGAGATTTTATTCAGATACTAATCAATTTCTTGCAAAAAGGATCATGATTCAGTCATAGCTTAATTTATTTGAGGCCTGGTAAATTAGGAATTTTAATAGTAATAACATTTTCACTAAACCAACAACTTGTAAGACTTGAACATGTGCTATCTCACTTGTTATCCCTAGATATTTACTGGTGCAATCTACATGGTGTTAGACCAAATGTGATGAAGACTTATTTTAAGAGTTTTCATTCAATTTTACCTACTCATCAAGCAGTCTCAAGTCACTTGGAAAAGGGGAGGTGGAATCCTATGCAGTAGAGCAAATGTGATGAAGGCCTATTTTGAAATTTTTGACTTGCTTTCACCTACTCAACAAGCAGTCTCAAGTTGCTTGAAAAAGGGGAGATGGGAACCTACGAAGTAGAGCGAGTGTGATGAAGGCCTATTTTGAGATTTTTTATTTGCTTTCAGCTACTCAACAAGCAGTCTCCAGCTGCTTGAAAAAGAGAGGTGGGATCCTATGTTTAACTCAATGAAGCATACATTTCTATAAATTTATATTTTATTTATTTCTGAAAAGATATTCTTCGTTTCTTTTTTTTTAATAAAAAAATTCTTTAAATTCTAATAAAAAGCTATTTAAGTATGTTTGAAATGATTAACCCATCATTGAGCAGTTGTTATATACCCTCATGTACATGTTTTTCTCAAAATCTTTTCGAGAAAAACTTAATCAAGCTTAGTTTGGACAAAAAATGAATCAGACACAGATCCATGCTCTCTTTCCTATTTTCAAATGCAAGGGCTGCAAATGTTTTGGAGTACTTTGCCACATGGCCTTAGTGTAGGCTAATTGAGTCAGAAGGTCAATAGAGGCTTCATTGGCATACAAAAACTCATTAAATCTCGTAACTATCCAGCGATATCATCATTTTATTATTTCCATTTTTTAAAAGCAGTCGTTGCATAACTTTCTTCCATCAGTTTGATAGTATAACCTTCAATGATGAGATTGAAATCAAAATGATTTTGAATCAGAAACCTTCAAAAATTAATCAAGGGAACTTATAAGATGCAAAACACTGGCTCATATAGAAGAAAGTATAAAGCTCCCCTACAGCATGGAAATCAAAGGCTTCATAGAGCAGCAACCAAGTAAATTCCCACAAATTAAGGACAACCTAATTGAAATTGATTACAATATAATTAAATAGAACTGTGAAAACCTAGACTACAAAAATCATCAATTATCCATGAAATCAAAAGCATCATGAACATTTAGCACATTATAGGGGTTAATGCTCATTTCCATAAAATGCGTGGTGAAAGCCTATGGTTGGGTCTTTTGTGAAGGCATCTCAATTTTTCCAATCTTAATGATTGTTACCTTCATCATATTTCTTTTTTCTTTATTTATGACATCTTATTTTCAGCTAATGACATCTCAGGGCTTTTTCATCTGCATCGGGCAAGACCGATTCTTTTGCATAGGCCACTAAATGTTACTATTTGCCCAAAATGAATCACGTAGCAAAGAAAACTAAAAATCCTTTGGTAATATACCTTAATCATTTTATACACACAATAAACTGAACCTGCATAACCAAGCAAATTCTGCATATGGCCCCTCCATGTTCGCGAATAAGCAGCAGCCTCCTGCAAAATATAAAAAGAAAGACTGAGCGTTGCTTTCCTGAAAGAAATCAAAATCTAAATGGAAATGGACAAAGGAAACTACAGCAGCCAAACACGACCAACTACAGTAAATATGCCGCTAAGATATCAATTTACATATAATAATAAAAATAATAAAGTGAAAAAAAAAACATGTTTACAAGAAAACCAACTGCTGAAAGGAAATAGATAACTTGCATTAAAAAGGTTGTATTTCTGACTCCAACAAAGCAATTGAGGACCACCAAGATTGTATAATTGTTCATCTTCTGTGAGCAAAAATTACAGGTACCAAGATCGTGACAAGCCAGTGTAACAAAACACTTAACATGGAGTAGAAAATTAATATCAATCTCTTTTTCTGTTTCTCCACATCTTTTGAGGCTACTGCATGGTAAATCTTGTACATGAGAAAAGTACATTATATCAATTTTCAAGATGAATAATACAACTGCAACAACGTAATATCACATGCAAATTTTATCTCAATTCAACCTAGCTCTAAGGCAGACTCCATCTAGAAAATCTGCTTTTAAAGTGGCCCTTAGAAAATAAGGGATGTTACTAAGTCTAAGCCTTCATAAATTAAATTTACACTTCGAAAGATTTAGAAGGCTTTAAGAGATGGTATTGACCTCTAGGTCGAAGGCCCATCATCATATTTCATATAGTTATAATACAAGTGTATAGCCAAAGGTAAACCTTCGCTTGGCGAAGCTCATAGATTTCCAGGAATAGTTGCTTTGAAACCTCTTCCAAAGTTTGAACCTCAGCTTCCAAGATTTTAATATCTGCAAAGGAAGAACATAAACTACTTAATGGACTCAAAGAAACTGAACCAAATGTATTATGTATCTTTCAATTGTAGAAGCCAAAAAGCTAATGTGAAGAAAGCAAAATAAAACATCTTCTTTGAAAATTTTAAAAGTACATCAACAAAATATATTAAGGCCAATGCAAGTGTACAGCCAGAAACAAGATAGATGACAAGCAAGACATTTAAGCACCAAAAGCATTAAGCAGAAATATAACAACAATGCATCTAAATTGGCACTTCAGGCTGTCCACAAAAACCTGAAACTTTAAGTTCAAGATTTGAAAACATAAAGCCAAAGGCCATTTGAATACCAATTTAGACCCAGAAAGTAGGACAGCAACTTTTCTCTCCATGATGCTTTATTACTTAAGCTAATGCCCAAGGGCAAGAAATGATCACTAAGAATCCTGTGCAAAAATAGCCTTATATGCCTTACACTAGAACTTGCATTCAATGCTTGAAAGACCTCTCTATGCTGCAGATGACACCTTAGTTTGAAGAATAGCCGAAAATAAGATTAAATTGCACCAAAAGTGATAGGAAAATAATACTGCATATCTCTTCTTGTTCATTCTTACACAATCTACAATCTCACAGTTGATGTGCCATAGATATAAAATACTCCATAAACATGAACTGCCATGATGCATGCAAACATACAAAATTCAAGGTTCATAGTGGAGAAGGAGAAGGAAAAAATCAAATTAAACAAGAAAATACCAAGTGTTTACAATGAAAAATAAGTGTGACATACAAATAGGTATGCCTTCACTTATTTAATATCAACATAAAAGTCCATAGCAATCATTAATGAATGATGTTTCCAAAGTTGAGGGCACTAAATGATAGTTGAGGTTCCTACAAAGTATGATTATCCAAGGAGAAATTCTAAGAACTTTATTGAGGCCCCTAAAAAGGATTTTAGAAGGAAAAACAGCAAAAGAGTAGCGTACTAATCCAAAGATTTTACGTAGACAATAACACATCACAAGTCATCATTATAGGAAATTTTACAGTATATGATGAAGATGGGGAAACGAATGCAGACCTTGCTCCTTTTGATCATCTTGTACTGAACGTACAACTGTGCCAACAATCCGTTTGAAGAAGGATCTGGCCTTTAAGTTCTGAAAGATACATCTTTAATTAGTCAAAACATGGTAACTGTAATCACTGTCAATCCCAAATGCTCAAAATATATAATTAAATATTTTTAAAAACAACAACAACAACCAGGGCCAGTAACGAACAAACACTGCCAGGCATGAATAACAACACAGCCAACAAGTATAATGCATGTAACATGATTTTGGCAGAAGGATATGGTTAGTTGTGACAGAATGTGCCAAACCAAATTCAAATTTGACAACATTTAAAACCAAAAATAAATTAGCTTAAAGCAGAATAGTCAAATTCTTTTTATGTTAATCTCCATCTTAGTCACAATTTATGCTTCATTTGTAACGTTACATATTTTCTATGGGGGTCATTCAAGACCCCAATAAATAAAATTGCATCAATTTCAAAGCGCCAAGAGAATAGGAGCAAGATCAGTAAACCTCATCAGATCCTTGAATTCGTTCCATCTCCATTTGACAAAGAATGATCTTCTTTTTCTTTGCAACACAAGTCTCAATTGATTGCATTAGTTGTCTCTCCAATGTCTTAATCTCAGATTCCTCAATCTCTCTGCCATGTTTATAGCCACAAATATGTAAGAAATCAAAATCATCTAAACATACAGATACAAAAATGATACTGGAAAACTTAACACACCAGAAAGGGCAGCTTTAATCTGTTAAAAATGTCAACAACGTATCAGTATCAGCTTTCACAGCATTATAAGCTACATATGAATCTTGAACTCCTAATATCTTGATGCAAAAACCACAAACTATCCCAGCTATACAGGGAAAAAATGGCTTTGAAATTCCTTAACATCCCACGTTTTTACAGGCTTAACCATGAGTACAGATCCAAAGTAGACTTGTGCAGAATAATACCGTTTTACTTTCTACAGTTGTCACATTATGAAAGGCTGATAAAAATGACATTCGCCCCCTAAAAATATATACGTGTTAAGGACAATGCTTGTGATTACTCCCATAAAAATTTTATTCTTTCTTTTACTTTAGTGATTCTATAAAATGTTACCATAAAAGAGAACACCTAAGAGTTAGTAAGCTATTTCACAGAGGTTCTTCTGTTTTTAGGCTCTACTTATCATATAATCATCCTCATTGAGTTTAATATTGAACCTTTAGCATAACATTTGAGTATATGAACCAAAGGAAGTATCCATTTATATAATAGCATGGACAGCATGCTCCATCTATTTCCCCAGTAAAGAAGTTGATATATCAACCCACATATTTTAAAGCTGCAAACTCAACAACTCAATAGAGCTTTTGCAATCATTTAGAGTTAGTAAAGAATCTTTTATAGTCATTTAGATCTACCCAAGAACACAGTTGTTCAAATGGTTTCTAAAAATATTTCCTGCTATTGCAATTATTTGAGAGCTTAAAGTTAGGTCTTCTTGTTCGAGTTCTGGAGATTACTTGGGAGCTGCAATTATTTTCTTCTTGCTGCTTATTATAGAAATAAACTATCTAAACACCCAAAGCATCAAATTTTCAACCACATTGATATAGACCTTTAAGTGTCGCCGCACCATGACAAAAGACAAATCCCCAGCTATGTTATCCAACCATTTTCACCACATCATACCTAAATTTAAAAAATAATAATAATGAGAGAGAGAGAGAGAGAATCTACATTTCCTGCTGCCATTAAATTCCAAGAATAACTGTCCTTAATTCAGTACTGTTCCTCTGAAAATCTCTACCTATTTTAATTGCATTTTTAACACTAAATCCCTACACTCATGCATCTGAAATGATGTAAGCGCATTAAGAATTTTATTTTATTTAGTATTTTCATTAGCTTAGGATTTTATTTTCTTTTATATTTTATTTAGTTTGAAATTCTTTTTCTATCTTTATTAGAATTTTAGTACTTTAAGTCTTTATTTAGGATTAGGATTACTATTTGATTAAGATTTATCTTAGCTATTATAAATAGGTGATCTTAGATAGAAGATTATTATTATCTTCTTTTGTTATTTTTGAATATTTATTCAGAGGTTTCTTTTAAACCCAATTATCTTTTTATTGTTCCAACACAATCAACCCTATTCTAGCCCTAATTGTTGAGTTCTAATTGCCCTAAACCCTTTGGCTACATCAAGTGGTATCAGAGCAACCGATCTTACTATCCTATAAGGATTTTAGCTAGGAGACTATGGTTGGCCGAGGCAGAGGTCGAGGTAGAGGCAATCAGCCCCAACAAGCTGAGTTGGCAGAGATGCGGAGAATGATTGATGACTTGTCCTAGGCTGTGCAAGCCTTGCAGCATCAGGAACCAGTGAAAGCCCAAATGGAGAATCCGGAAGGTGACCACAACCCCCTTGAGATTCAAGATCTTGAGGATGATGATGAATTTGAGAACGAAAACCCTTTTCATGAAGATGGACCCGTAAATCAAGTGGCAGGAGTTGGATTGGAGGGCTGGTTATTACATGCTCTTGATTTAAATGGTGGGGGAATCAAGATCGAAGTAACTGATTTTCATGAAAAATTTCATGCGGAGGAATATTTGGATTGGGAAACTAGTTTGGAAAACTACTTTGAATGGAAACCCATGGCGGAAAATAGAAAAGCTTTATTTGTAAAGCTGAAATTGAAAGGTACTGCACTTCAATGGTAGAAGAGAATTGAAGAGCAACGTGCACGACAAGGGAAGCTTAAAATCAGCATTTGGGAGCACATGAAAAGTAAATTACGAAAGCAATTTTTACCTGCTGATTATACTATGGAATTATATGAAAGGTTTCATTGTTTGAAGCAAAATAACATGACTGTTGAAGAGTATACATCGGAGTTTAATAATCTATCAATTCGGGTTAGGTTAGTTGAGAGTAATGAACAAATTGCTTCTCGTTATCTTGCTGGTTTGAATCATTCTATTAGAGACGAGATGGGAGTAGTTCATTTATACAACATTGAAGATGCTCGTCAATACGCTCTATCAGCACAAAAACAAGTTTTAAGCTATGGTACTAGAAAGCCCTTATATGACACCAATTGGCAAAACGATTCTGGAGCTCGACAGGGTCACCAAACATTCCCACAAAATTATCGAGAAGCTACCACAACCAATAAAACTAATGGGGGTGCAACCAATGTTGAAAGGAACAATAAAGGCAAGAGTATAATACCTTATGGTGAACAAAACAATTATGGTTCTTCCACAAATAAAGGAGGCAGCAATTCCCATATTCGATGTTTTACTTGTGGGAGAAGGGACACACTTCTTTTGCTTGCCCAAAAGAAGGGTGAACTTAGCTGAATTTAGGAAGGAATTGAACCCATTTATGATAAATTGATGAGGAAATACAAGAAATTGATGTGTATCCTGCACAAGGTGAGTCATTAGTGGTACGAAGAGTGATGACAACAACAATAAATGAGGAAGAAGAAGATTGGAGGAGGCGAAGTATTTTTCGTACACGAGTTGTTTGTGAAGGTAAAGTATGTGATCTTGTCATTGATGGAGGAAGCATGGAAAATATTATTTCAAAAGAGGCAGTGAACAAATTAAAGCTTCCTACAAGAAAACATCCTCATCCTTACAAGATTGGATGGCTAAAGAAAGGACACGAAGTACCAGTAACTACTCAATGTTGGGTCAAATTCACTATGGGAGATAACTTGGATGATGAGGCTTTATGCGATGT